CCCCCCCCCCCCCCCCCCCCCTTTTTTTTTCTTTTTTGTGGGGTGTTTGTTTTGCTTCGCTTGGTGTTTGCATTTTGCGGATCATGGCTTGGAAAAATATCAACGACGGGGCAGGTCGTTCGGATCGTGGCGTTCAAGCTTCGTTTTGCTCTTATAACTATTAGCGATGTTCGGGTTTTGGAACTTAAGTAGCATTCACCGGGGAGACGTCTCTTAGAGACGACGAGGCATAGTTGAAGAAGATTCGATATCATATCGCGTTCTGTCGTTGTCGTTGTGAAATGAAATCACTTTTACTATATGGTTGCACCTATCCCTTTATGGATGTAGGACCGGGCGGTCATCAGCTTCCAATACAGTGAATTGCTGATACTCGAAGCTGCAGGAATGCTTTACAGGACGCTCACATTTAGCTTTCTTTGATGCAAATCTCACTCACTCCAAACCAAAAAAGATTAAAAACCGAACACTGGAAGTGGTCGCAGTGCATCGCTTTGCCATGCCTAACTCTAGCAGGTCCGTAATGAAATTCGTGAAAAGGAGAAATGAACATCAGCCCGCTAATACCGCTCCACCTAGACGCATAAACAATCAATCTTAGGGGAATCCAACCGAACAAGAAGAACAATCCTTAGAAATCGTTACTAAAAATCATGGGAAGCGACCGTCGGCTTAACGATCGCTGAAATGCAAATGCAAACATGCCAAGGGTTCGTTATATGTACGTTACAAGGGAGAGGCGCCGTATCAGAAGACACGCGAGAAGGGTATACGTGGGCAAGAACCGCTCAACAGTTTTGCAGGTAGTTGCTGGGGACCAGGCCCAAGCGCCCAGGCTTGCTGAGAACCTCGGCTTCCCACCAACCATCGTCCTGCTCTCGGGTGATAGCAAGAACGTCCCCCTTGTTGAAGGTAAGTTCTTCGGGAATCTGGGCTTGATACATGTACAAGGCGCGAGCTACGAAGGAAGGTCAGTATTCCGAGGAAACAAATTTAGGCATTGAGGGATGTTTCTTACAGTAGTGCATGATGAGAGCCCCAGTTGAAGTGTAGCGAGCATCTGCGGCAACACTCCTGCTGCGGACACGGCCAACCTCGCCGCCGCCGCCGCCGCTACTTCCACCGTAGTAGCTCATCGGACGAGTGCTGGACCGCCCAGTTCTCTGGCTACCACCCTCGCTCGGAGAAGGTGCGAGCACCATAGCACCTCCGGCGCTACTGGCTGGCCGTTGACCTTGGCCACCAAAGTGCGGTGCAGGGGACGTATTGCCTGTACGAGTACCGGGACGGCTGTATTGAGGCTGTGGCGAGACAGCGCGTTGTCCATTGCCAGGATCACCTTGCCGAGAGTTCCAGCTGCCCCACTCGCGAGGCTTCACAGGGCTTGTCGATTGGGCACGAGGCCTGTTGCCTCCAGCAGGGGCAGCGTACGGGTTCGGAGATGTAGCCCGGTTGTTGAAGCCAGGCCGAGGACTGGTGGCTCTCGGACCTGGAGCTGGACTGGATCCACGAACATCCTGACTGCCACGGGTGCTAGGACGGGAAGATCCACCGGAAGCTCGAGGATTGAACATGTTCTGTGTCTGCTTGACGTAGCTTTGGGTTGTTTGTTGCATCTGCTTTGCAGTATGAGCAGGCTGGGGTGCGCCCAAACGGCTCATTGGCTGCTCGTAGGAAGGCGGTGGCGCTCCACGAGAAGCGTTGCTGTTAGCGAGAGGCGCAGCTCCGGATGTAGAAGGAGCTGGAGTTGCAAGTCCCGCATATCGATCAGCTGTCATGCGTACCGAAGTCTGCTTAGATGGTGCTTTCAATTCTGCCAGGGCAGCAGCTATTGGGTCTTGCTCCTCAGCCGGAGGATTTGCGGAGTTCTGCTTCTTGTCAGGAGACGCAACATCGAAAACATTCTTTCCGACATTGAGCTGGAAGTTGGCCCTCGGATCAACGGGGTCTGCATCCGGTTCTGGGCTGGCGGAAACTGCGTCATTGCCACCAAGTATGGGCGTGCGAGCTTGGCGTCCGTAGGGAGGCCGTGAGCCTTCGCGAGCACTTGGCGCTGACCATGAGTTGCGTCCGGTAGGGGTAGTACTAGCAGGCGATCCGCTTTCCTCTGCCCTGCTTTTCCTCTTGAATGGGCTGCCGCCTTGGAAAAAGCCACTCTTTTTCTTCAACACAGCTCTCTCACGTGGTACCGGCGTGGTCTCGGTCATTGGATCATCCGCTTGCTTGATAGGGGACGCTGCGCCGCTGGCAGGATCTGCACTAGTAAAAGAAGTCGGCGCCGAGAGGTCGCTGCGAGAGTCACGGCTGTCTGGACGGGCGGGGCTCGAAATCGAGGAACCCCTCTCGGAACGAGCTACGCGGCAGAATTGAGTCATGCCATCCGCGGGATAGGCGTTGTGGGGAATTTGAGGGATTTCGCCATACTGGCTTTGGTACTGTTCCTGCATGGCTTGCGCGATAGCACGTGGGTCGGTCCTGGCTGACGGTGGCGGATCAATGGGTGAGGATGCGGGAACGTTCCCATCCCTATGAGCCAGCTCCCTAGCCAGCGGGTTGTTCGGATCATGGTGAGATTCGAACAGTGATGGTTGCGGCGACGCACTCCGGAAGGCAGGGTTCATTGTACGAGCAAACTGAGCGACTGTGTAATTGTTATCCTCAGAAGTCATGGACGCATCGTCGGCGGCATCCCCTCGGCAGAAGTCGATAAACTTGGGCGGATCCGGGATTTCCTGGCCAGTGCCACAGTCGCGGATGAAGTTTGTAATGTCTTTTTCCACCTCGCAATCCTCCAGAGAGAGGCGTATCTTCTCAAGTGACTGCAGTATCCGTCAGTGTCTAGGCAGATCCCGAAGTAAACGTGTGGCCTACCGCATCATCGCTGACGCAAACCGTTGAAGCGATGTTGGCAAAAGCCCACAGGCTGCTCTTCATGAAGTCGAGACGCTCCTCTTCGAAATCTTGAAAGTTCTGTGCTTCTGTTAGAATTCGCCCAGTTTGACATTGGAGGCCTACGCACATCGCACGCCTTCTTCCACTCTCTGTTCCACCGGGAAGTAGTCTCTTCCAGGATCTTGACGGCTTGCTCGTACTCCTGGCTGCTTCCAGACAATTGCACTTGGGTCTTTTCCAGCTTAGCCTTGTTCTTCCGCTCCTCGTGGCCCATGACCATGTGCCCTTGAGCAAGGTAGCCCTTGATCTTCAGGCAGTCCTGCTCATACCGGTCTCTGGCCTTGTTGACTGCAGACGTCTGCTGCATCTTGACCTTCAGGAGCTTCTCGATGCCAGTCTGCACGATTTTCCGTCGCTCTTTGAGACCTCCTGTGAACGCCGACAGTTGTTCCTCCAGCTCTGACTTCATCTGGCCTGCAATCTGCTGGTGCTGCTTGCCCATCAACTCGATCTCGGCGCGAACAACATCGAGGGACATTTTCAGAGTACCGGCCTCCGACGAACCGAGCGGCTTGCGGGACAGGTTGAGGAGTTTGCGGGCATATTCCTCTTCGATGTGGGCGCGGGCTGCGAGACGGTTAGCCGATGCAGCTGCCTGACGAGCGGGCGGACAAACCGGTGTAGAAGGACTTCAGCTCATCGCCAGTGACCTTGGCGCTGTGCATGCGCTCCAGGAGCGGAGTAACACCAGCATCGTCTTTGCCCCAGAAGTTGTTCGCAACTAGCAACGGTAAGCGGCGATCATGCCGGGGCGGATGGGGAGACCGAACACGACAGAGAGACCGACGGCGGGTCGCTCACGGTGGTCCCAGGCATGATGCCGGGATATCGATGACGTCTGTGTTGGTGACACGATGGGTAGGGGAGGTCGTGAAAAGCGGCAGTGCGAAGATTCTGCAGGGCGTAGCTGGTAATTAACAGAGAGGCAGGGGCGCTAGGTTGGCGGCGCGTGCCTTGGTGGTGGATAACTGGGAGCGCGTTGGGTTCCTGTACCTTGGCAAACAGCGTTCGCTGGGTAACCGCCCGCCCTACGCCTCCGCCGCGGCTTACCGCCTCAGTCAGGCACCATGCCCACACGCGCGAGACCGCTACCGCCCTGCTCGGGCTGGTGCATGGCCGGCATTCCTGGCAAAGTGCCCGGCGGGCCCGGTTCCCTCAAGGGCCGTCATGAACGTTCGGCGGCGCCGTCATCCGCTGGCAGCGCCCTTGGCACCGCCGCGACCGCCGTCCCCGTGCGGCTTCGAGCGACGGCAGGGCGCCCGGGAGGACGCAGCCGCTGCCCAGGGCACGGCCACCGCTTGCTACGTAGTGGCACTGGATGGGTATTGCATGGCGTGCGGGCGCTGGCGGGCGTGTTTGCGCTGTTGCTCCGCTGCCGCCTGCGACCGTGGCAGCGCGCCGCAGACAGCGGGGGCGCGCGCGCGACGGTGCCGGCGTAAGCAAAGACGTGACCGAGGCCGGCCGCTGCAGTGATGCATGCCCATTGCCCATTGCGCGCGCGTGAGTCTGCACACTGCGAGCGGGTGCGCTGCTGCTCGCTGCTCGCTGTCGCCCGCCGTCGGTCGGCAAGTGCCGCATGAGAGTCCTTCGGGCTGCCAACCTTGACCTCAACTCCAATACCTCATCCCCCACCGACCACACCTGTCCTCCTCGCCGCCACCCATTCCCCCTCTTGTCGCGCGTGCGCACCCGATGGAATAGCTGCCTAGATGAGCCAGCAATTCCCCTGGGGCTCTTCAAGTCAGCAACCCAGCGGACGGCGTGGCCTTACTCCCATTTCAACCGCCTTCACCTCGACACGCTCCAACTCGGCTGCCAACAGCCCCTCGCGATCCTCCTTCTCGCCCGTCAACAATCCGCCCTCAGTCGCATCGTCCGGCCCCCGGCGCATCATCAGCCGCACCTCGTCCGCCTCGTCGACGTCGTCGCCCTTCTCGCCCTCGCAATCCGGATTACAGCAGCAGCACACCCCGGGCCAGCTGCTGTCCTCCGGCCGCTCCAGAACCATAGCTTCCCAGGGCGCTTCACATTTAGCTTCCTCCGCCGTGATCTTGCCTTCCGCATCGCAAGGTGGTGGAGGTGCGCCAGGCACCAGCGGCGGAGGGAGCTCCAAAGTAGCTCGCGCGTCGCCCTCACTCTCGCAGTCGGGCAATATCGGCTCGCCGAGCAGCACGTCCACTGCATCGGCCCCGTCTGGCCAGTCGCTCGCCAAGATCGTCATCGCACAGGTCTTCCTGCTCTTGAGCTCGCTCAAAGAAGATAAGGACAAGACCAAGTGGGAGCAGCAGACGGATCAGATCCGCAAGGTCAGTCAAGCCCGCACCTCGCACCTGCCCCGCCCGCATCCGTGCTGACGTTGTTTCCCGCCACAGCTAGTCAACTCGAACGGCATGGAGGTCTTCTCAAAGTACTTCCGCCGCTTGCTCCAGAGCAATGCGCCGCAGATCTTCCCGGGCAACGCCAAGGGCGGTGACAACTCTGGCAGCTACGGCCTGCTTGTGGAAGAGATGCACAAGATCATGCGTGACCCCCAACAAGCATACAAGATTGCCGAGTCAATTGATACGACCGAGGGCGATCTCTTCAGGGACTTCGACCTGTCCACATTTATGGAGCATTTCAAGTTGGACCCGGTCGCCAAGACAACCCTAGCTTTGGCGTGCAAGACCACGTCAAAGACGGATCTGAGGACCAAGGGTGAGATTGCAGCCCCTCGCCCACTGTTTCCATCCCCACTGACTTTCCCCTCCGCACTAGCTGATGCCATTCTATCCAACAACTACCAAAACTTCCTCATGACCCTCGTCAACTCCCACCCCGACTCGCAAGAAGACATTCCATCCAGCATTCTCGCCACCGACATCGATCGCCTGGCGCAAGATCCTCCACGCACCTGGAACGACGAGAGCAAGAACAGTCTAATGTTTGCCATCCGCACGAAATACGACAAATCGACCGGCATACTACCTCCAGACGTCACCGCGTCGTTGCACATGTTCGAGCTACTCGAGAACCAAAACCCGCTCATCAGGCATGTCCAGCGTGCCGGACCTCGCGCAACCTCGAGCTTGGACTCGTGCAAGGAAATGCTCGCCTCGGTCGAGGCTCGCGACATCAGCTACCAGCATGTTGCCAATGCGCTTCTCTTCATGGCAATCACCCAGAACGGCCAAGCTTACAATGCGAGCAACTTCGTGGCTGCGCTGCGGGAACACCGTGCGGGACAACGGTTGGATTGGCAGGATGTGGTACATGCGTTCGACCGCGAGAACCTAAAGGTCACCACCCAACAGTTTCTGGCGCTGTACAACGCGTTCCTACCTTTGGCCCAAGAGTACGAGAACTTTGACATTCAGCTGTTATGGGGAGGGTCTTGGAACCATCAGGATACCCAACTTTCTTTCGTTGTGGCATTCTTGGCTTGCTCTCCAGAAGACCTGGATGTCACCCAAGTCCCTCGCTTGCGTAGAGCCTTCACGCTGGAGCAATTCGAAGATGCGTCTGAAGTGGTCAAGGAACGCGCAAAGGAAGTTGTGAAGCATCCACTGGTCTCGCTAGATGCGACAGCAGCCCTTTTCAACATCATTTTCCAGTCACAAGACACATACAACATTGCTCAACGTTCACAGATCCCGCAGACTGTCATCAACCAGAACACAGACATCTTCGTCGTTGCCGCATCCGCCGTACCCAAGCCATGGGTTGGTCTCCAGGAAATGGCCATGCGTCAGCTCTTCGGACCTTTTGTTGAGAAACGTGTACCGAATGTCTACAGCTTCGCACTCCATGGTCTTTGGAAGCAAGATAGCATTTGGGTTGCCGCCAGGTTCCTGGACTTCTACAACGCCAATCCTCTTTCCTTGACCACGATCATGGAGCATGCGGCCGAACACGGTTGGATTCAAGACCTCGTTGCGTTAAATTCCGATATGAGCTTGGACCTGGCCGCTCTAGCGCATAGGGAGGGTCTCTTTGACCTAGATTTATGGGCGCAGGACACCTTGAGGCAGATCCCGGTCTTTCCAAGGGTTCTTGCTTCGTTCCTCAACAACAAGGCGGAGACGGATCTGCAGGCTCAACGCGAGGGCGTTCCCCCTCCTAATGTCCCATTGGCGGTCAAGACTATTCATCCTCTTCTAAGCTTCCTTCAAGGACATTTGCCCGACGAGGAGTTGGTTTCTTTGCAGCGGATATGCATTGGTGCATATCCGAGGTTGATCAACTACGGCGAAGGCTTTGACGAGATCATTGACGCCAATGGTAAAGACGGTAACTCGATATCACCGGAGGCCGACAGGAAGATGCAGGAACATTACAAAAACATGTACAGCGGCGAGAGTGACGTGCGTCATTTCATCGAGGAGCTGCAGAAGTACAAGGCATCCGAGGACCCTGCGGACCAGGACTTGTTCGCTTGCATGATTCACGGCCTTTTCGACGAGTACAACTGCTTTGGCGAGTATCCTCTGGAGGCACTGGCGACCACGGCGGTATTGTTCGGCGGTATCATCCAGTATAACCTGCTTTCTCGGATCCCTCTCCAGGCCGGCCTAGCTATGGTATTGGAAGCGGTTCAGGATTATCCGCCGGAGGCTTCCATGTACAAATTTGGCCTGCAAGCGCTCTTGAACTTTTCCAACAGACTCCACGAGTGGCCTAGTTTCTGCGACCGCCTTCTCCGCGTGCCAGGGCTTCAAGGTACTGAAGTATGGAACAAGGCCGAGGAAATCGTAAGACGACAACGCTCTGGGGAGGCCAACGGTGAGACCAATGGGGACGCACAGAACGGTGTCTCCTTGACGAATGGGAGTGTGGAAGAATTTGGCCAAGAGTCGGTGGTGCGTCAGTTCAGCTGTTTGCACGCCGACCCTCTGCTTCGACCGGAGATATACGAAGATCCGGATGAGGAGGTGCAGGACAAGGTCCTGTTCGTTCTCAACAACGTCTCGGAGCGCAACATTGTCGAGAAGCTCAATGATCTCAAGGAGGCTCTGGAAGAGAAGCATCACCAGTGGTTCGCCAACTATCTTGTTGAGGAACGTGCGAAGATGCAGCCCAACTTCCAGCAGTTGTACCTTGATATGCTCGCGCTCTTTGACGACCGGTTTCTTTGGGCCGAGGTTCTTCGCGAATCTTACGTTTCCGTGATCCGCATGCTGAATGCCGAGTCTACGATGAACTCGTCAACGGAGCGCACTCATCTGAAGAATCTTGGCGGTTGGCTCGGCTCTCTGACAATTGCCAGGGACAAGCCTCTCAAATTCAAGAACATCTCTTTCAAGGATCTACTGATCGAGGGTCATGACACGCAGCGGCTATTGATCGTCATTCCGTTCACCTGCAAGGTCCTCATCCAAGCCAGCAAGTCGACGGTCTTCAGGCCCCCGAATCCGTGGGTCATGGAAATCATTCGGTTGCTCATGGAACTGTACCACTTCGCTGAGCTCAAGCTTAACCTCAAGTTTGAGATTGAGGTTCTGTGCAAGGGCTTGGACCTTGATTACAAGATCATAGAGCCCTCCGACTGCATTCGATCTAGGCCTCTCCACGAAGAAGAGATTTTGGGGCAGGCAATACCTGATGGTCTTGAGGGTTTCCATGACTTGTCCTTGGTCGGCCTCAACCGCGCAAGAGCTGTAAACGACCGCTTTTCGCCCGCTGCAATCCAAGCCTCCTTGCCGGACCTTGCTTCGGCTCTTGTCTACCCGCCTGCATCCTCCAATCTGGCAGCCACCAGCCGTCTGAGACAGATTTTCCACACAGCAGCGCAATCTGCCATCGCAGAGATCATTGCGCCGGTTGTTGAACGTTCCGTCACAATCGCCGCGATCTCCACATCGCAATTGGTTGCGAAGGATTTCGCTACTGAGGCTGACGAGAACAAGATGCGCGAGGCTGCACACACCATGGTCAAGTCCCTTTCCGGCAGTCTCGCGCTTGTCACCTGCAAAGAGCCGTTGCGCATGAGCATCATGAACAACATCCGCATCTTGGCTCGGGATCTTCCGGAGCAAGCCCTGCCCGAGGGTCTTATCCTCATGTTTGTCAATGACAATTTGGATACCGTGTGTGGCATGGTCGAGCAAGCGGCAGAGCAGCAATCCATTGCGGAAATTGATGTTCAAATCGAAGGCGGCACCCGTGCCCGCCGCTACCACCGCAACACCAATCCTCGCGAGCCCTTCAACGATCCTCCCGTCAAGCACTGGGCCACGTTCATTCCAGAGCCGTACAGGCAGAGTCCTGGAGGCCTCAACGCAGAGCAGCTGGCTATCTACGAAGACTTTGGTCGTCAGGCTCGGGGTATGTCTCAGGTCAACAACGCTTCCCAGGACAATGGGCGCCAAATGTCGGAGGTCCTGCAGGAGCAGTATCCTCAAGTTCCGAACCTGCCTACTCCTGCGGAGCCCCCTGCTATCCCTCGTCCAGGTTCTCAGGCCCCCACCCGTCTTCAAACCGCTCCACCGATGTCGGCTACGATGCCGCAGGCTCAACTCAATGGTTATGTCGATACTCAGACCGCCAACGATCGTGCAATGTCTCACCTGCTGGATTTGCAGCGCACCTCAAAGGAAGCTCAAGAGGAGCACATCGAGGATCTGGGGCCGTCTGCCCCTACCCGCGATGCCTTCGAGCAGCTGATCCATGTCGTTGAGAGCTCAGGCAGCGTAAGGGACGCACTTTGCTTGGGTATCGCTGGTCGTGTTGCCACTTACCTCTTCGCGGAGGCCGAGCGTCGTCTGGAGATCGAAGTCTTGGTGCAGTTGGTCATCCAGGTATGCCAAATGTCCGTCAACACCTCTCGACAGATTATGATGTGGCTCGCAACCCTTGACAACGAGCGTTTGTTCAACGCCCCGGTTGTCATCTGCATGGTCACCGCCGGCCTTATTGATCTGCATCGGGTCGATATGGCAGCATCCAAAGCCATCCAAGCGCGCAACCTGCACGCTTTGGATTTCCTCTCCCAGTTCATGGACGAAATCGTCCTGGGAACCAGCCCTGCGGCTTTCCGCACGGACTTTTCCAGGTCGCTCGAAGCTCTGACTCAATGGCTTTCTGAGGATTCTGATCTGGAGGTTGGCAAACTGATCATGTCCAAGCTTCAAGTGCCTCAGGAGCGCATGCCAACTCCTCCCGACGCAGGTGGCAAATATCAGGTTGAGTACGTGTTCGAAGAGTGGATTCATCTCGTCCGCTACACCCAACGCCAAGCTCCTTCTGAAAGGATGATCGCGGTCTTCATCAACCAGCTCCATGCCCGCGGTTTCCTGAAGAGCCAGAACGACTCTGCGCACTTCATCCGTGTCTGCATCGAAGCCTCGGTTGATGCGTACGAGCGTGAGGAGCTTGTTGCCTTCCCTAGCTTGGACGCCGCTTACATCTCCGTTGATGGCCTGGCCAAGCTTGTCGTGTCTTTGGTCGTTTACCAGAGCGAATCCGAGGGCGCCACCCTTTCCAAGAAGCCGGGCTACCTTGAGGGAATCTTGAGCTTGATCATCATGGTGCTGATCCACCACCAACGTACCCGCGGCGAGCGACTCAACCAGAAGGTGTTCTTCCGCCTCTTCAACTCCATCATCTGCGAGCTTCACGATGCGAGAGACATACTCCCTGGCCTTGAGCCTGAGTTCATGTTGGTTATGGGCAGGGCTCTCCTGGTGCTTCAACCCAAGCACCTCCCTGGTTTCTCCTTCGCTTGGCTCACCTTGGTTTCGCACCGCATGTTCATGCCTGTCATGCTCAAGCTGGCCGACGATACCAGGTGGAACCTCTACGCCAAGCTCACCGAGATCGTCCTCTCTTACGCGGGCAATCTCATGAAGCCGGTGGAGCCCAGCATTGAAGCCCGCAACTTCTACCGTGGCGTTTTGAGGGTTCTCCTGGTGATCCACCACGACTTCCCCGAGTTTCTGGCTGAGAACCATTTCCGCTTGTGCAATGCGATCCCGATGCACTGTACGCAGTTGCGCAATCTGGTCGTGAGCGCCTATCCATCGTCCTATCCGGAGCTTCCTGATCCCTTCACTGCGGGCTTCAAGGTAGACCGTCTCGAGGACGTGAGGAAAGCGCCGGTTGTTCGTTGCGACATTGAAGAGCCCCTCAATCAGCATGGCGTCAAAGATATTGTCGACAACCTTCTCCAGTCGACCGAGCAGAACCCGGAGGAGATACAGACGCTGTGCGACGCCATCAATGGGCCTCTGCGTGAGGAGACTGGGCTAGCTTTCGCCCCAGTTCTTGTTGACACTCCCCTTCTGCACTCGATAGTCCTCTATGTCGGTAGCAACGCTGTTTCCACTGCTGGCAAGGGCCCCGTTTTCAGCGCTACCTCCCCTCACGCGAAGCTTTTGGAGAACCTTGCGAAGGAGCTGCGGCCTGAAGGTCGCTACCACTTCCTTAGCGCCATGACTAACCAGCTGCGTTGGCCTAACAGTCACACTCACTGGTTCAGCTACGCCATTCTGCACCTTTTCGGTAGCAGCAGCGACCAGATCAGCCTTGACGTCAAGCAGCAGATCACGCGCGTCCTCCTCGAGCGTCTTCTGGTGCACCGCCCGCACCCTTGGGGCCTGATCATCACGCTGCTGGAGATCCTCAAGAATCGCGACTACCAATTCTGGGAGCTGCCTTTCGTCAAGGCGGCACCTGAGGTAAGTTCTTTCCCTTTCCTTGCACGCTGATCAGCAAGTTATGTTTGCTAACCTAGTGGGCATCACTTCAGGTCGAACGCCTCTTCGGAGCCCTGTTCCAGCACATTAACCAGAGCCCGAGGGCCATCTCGTAAACGCACAGCTACGACTGCGCGGATTTATGGACGAGGCATCGTGCTCTTGGCCGAAGCCGTCTAGTGATGCCAACAGCCTTCAGATCCCCCGTCCCCAAGGAGCTCAAGACAGCGTTGACCGCTCAGACAACGAAGCGTAGCTCGACGGACTGGGACATGTCACGAACGAAATGCTCATGTGGTATGACCTGACACACGACAACTTTCTTCTGAACAACCGGCGTCTATACAAAAGATGGGACGAGGAGCGAGTCTCCAGCCCTGTTTGATTTTCTGCTCTTAATCCTCTTTTCGGAGAGAAGGGTGGCAAGCGTCTCCCTCAACTTTTTCCTTTCTTGATGCATTTTCAGTGCGCCGGGTTTGGGTAAACTAAAAAAGGGCATTTGCGTGGCGAAGGAGGGGTCTTCTTTTTCTTTCACCGAGAAATTAATTGGCGGCGGATATTGAGAACGTGGGCTGGGGGATGCAAATGCGGGAGAATTCTTTCCTAAGGTGGCGGAAGGTTTTTAGGTGCTTCTCTGGTTTTTTTCTCTACACCTCTTTCTAAACAAACTCGGGGTTTTGCTTTTGTTTTGATTACATGATTTCACCTGCGTGGACATACTCTTCTTGCTGATGTATGGCTTCACTGCTGTTGCTCTTCTTCCCCGTGGACTTTTACATGGTCCTCTTGGTCATTTGACCAGCCAGAGCCTGGGTATGGCTTTCTGTTCAGCTCAACAATTACGGCCAGAGTTCACCCATGAAGGATGACGGCAAACCCGAAATATCGCTCTCCAGTGAGGCAATTCTCGAAATGGCCTTTGATCTTCTTGCACTTCTTTTCCGGGGTGGGGCGTTTTCGGAGTGAGAGGGAGCAGTGAGCTGATTTTTCCATGGTAGATCCGGCAGCGCAATCTTCACGAGGTACATCCATAGCCTTATTGTTTTCTCACGTGTTATTATTCTCCTGTCTATTTTTCCATCACTTATCTTCTCTCTTCCCCAGGTGACTATGTAGATCCATACTATTCCTCTCACCTATACACTCATCGCGGTCGTTGATCATGGTTGAGCAATGTTGTGTACCTTCTCTTAGCGTCGTTCGCACACTTCTTGACTTGCTACGGAAAGGACCGTTCATCGATCATTTCGGTATTCCGATTTCACAGCACGTGTTTTTTTATAAAAAAAAAAAAAGCAGAAAAAATGATCAGAGCACAGCATCGATCGTGAGACTTATTTGCCATAAACATCACGTTGGTTGGTTCTGGGGGCCATGAAGTTTGCATATGCGTTTAGTGCATTCCTGCTCTTTCAAACATCATGGTAGGAAGACCCATATATGTGGGCAGCTTCGCCTTGAGATCTTTGTACTCTTGCGGCATCTTTGTCTGACCCTGCTGCTTAAAATCCTTCCCGGCCCTAGAAAACGAGATGCCACGTAGGGAAGCAGCCATCCTCCTCCCCCACCCCCTAGGGAGCCGCACACCAAGGCAGTGATGAGGTGGTGGTACCATACCTCACACCATCCGCTAAGCTAATACTACTACTACTACTGCGCCTCAATCAACCCCTTTTTCCTTGTCACTGCTACCAGGACTCCGCTCTCTTGTTCCTCTTCTCCCAGGCCTGGGACGATTTATCATACGATACAACACCATGAATGGCCCGATGCATGGTACGAGAAAATTGTCATCAATCCCTACCCGAAATTAAACTGATCCTCCATCAGCCGTAAACATTGCCTTGCTCGCAAGTACCCGAACGCCATTCCAGCCCAATGTGAATCTAGCTGTCTCTATCATACGATCCGTTTGAAAAAAAAAAAAAACAAAGAGGGCTTGATGAGGATACTGGAGGTGAGAGTGAAAAATAGGACCAAAAAAATCTCGGACTGAAGGGTGAGGACAAGTTGTATTTTGGGAAAGACAGATCGATCATCGTCGTGGTGGAGATCAATAGGAAAAGGGAATTCGACGAAAGTGGGCTGATTATGTTGATTATAAGGTTGAAATGTTCGCTTCATTGCTTAACGATGACTAAAACGACGCGTGAACTATGACGGAAAGAAATATTATGTCAACCATCCAGGCCGAAAGCCGCGCGTGTCGTGAGAAGAGGGCAGTTTCCAAACTATCCGTTTATGCTTTGACCGAGTACGTTATTGATAATTCCCTAAGCATAATACAAGAACCAAAAAAAAAAAGAGAATTTCAGTGTGGAACGGAGTTTCCCAGGATGCATATAGAACACAAACAAACCCCAGCCATCCGATCTATCGGTTTAGATTTGCAGTTCTCACCTGTTCGAAGAAAGAACAACCACGCTCTGACCAGCATCTATCATCCTGCCGGGCTACACATCACGAGGAAGGGGCCGTGGTGGCCTTGGAAAGGTACTGGGCCGCCTTTGTGGGGTCGAACTTCCACACACCGTTGGTCTTTTCCGCCTCGACGGGCTCCTGGATGCGAGCGGCGAGCTTCTCGAAAACGGGGAACTCGTCGGTGCGGGAAAAGTAGCGGCGCTGCCACTCCCTGTTCTCCTCCTTCTCGACGCGGCGCATCTCACGCTGCTTGTTCTCGATGAGGCTCTTCTCGCGGCCCGTCGCATCCATGTCGCCCACGGCAATGCCGGCGGCAACCTTCTGCCAGGCGCGGCGACTCTCCAACTCATCCTGCTGCTCGATGGGGGCGAGGGTCAAGGGGGTGGTTTTGTTGGTGCGGGCGTCGTAAGTCTCGACCGTCTCCTTCTTCTTCTTGATGGTGAAGGCTTCGGTCCACTGGCCATCGATAGTGTAGATGGCATCCTTGTCCGTCTTGTCGTGGGGGTACAGGGTGGCGGTGAAGCTGTTCTTCTTGCCGCTGATCCAGCCGCGACCGCTGTAGTCGATCTTGGCGGTGTAGCCCGACGAGGATGTAATGTAGGATTGGCGGTTCAGCTCGACATAGGGCGAGCCGGTGATCAGGCCCTCGATGTGCAGCGAGGGAAGGGTAATCAGGTAGTCCTCGTTGTAGGCGTCGATGTGGAGCACCGCGTGGCCGATTTGCTGCCCGAGTGCCACAAAGCGTCAGTCAGTGCGGTCCGGAACACACGCAGATCTGTGTCACCCAGCTGACTGACTCACCTTGACGTTGATGGTGCGCGAGAACGAGGCCTTCTGGCCACAGTAGCCGGTCAGACGCACGCCGTGCTGGTCGTTCCAGATCGAGTAGGCCGTGACGGGCGGGTGGTGGCTGCAAAAACAACGGTCAGCGGCCAGCGTCCGTCACGGAGTGTTGGGTGTGCGTCCGTACCTGACCTGCTCACTGACGAGCTCTGTTGTGCCTGCGGCATCCTCCCACTTGCCCAGGAACAGCTCGCCAAGGAAGGGGTTGAGGGGCTTCTTCTCGCTGCCCAACTTCTCGCTGCGGCTGGCGTACTGCTGCTTCAGGGTGCTGAGGAACCACTTGAGCACGGCGAGGGCGCGCTCGGCGGGGTCCTCCTTGCCTGCGGGGGCGACGAAGAGCTGGGGGTGCTCGGCCCAGTACGACGAGAACTCGACGAGCGAGGTGGAGCTGAGGATGAAGGGCGGGGCGGTCATGGACGACAGGTCGCCGTTGAAGGACGCGATCGACTGCATGGTCGCAAGGGCGTCAGCGGGCTTCGGGAGCGGCGCGAGCGGCGCCGCCTCATGCGCGGGGCGCAAAGTCGCGACATGGGCGGCGACTGGACGAGCAACTTGTTGCGTACCTTCAGGAACGAGGTCCACGAGCTCCGGGCCTGGGGCGGGACGGCCGAGGCCTCGGCATTACTGTTGGAGGACATGGCTGGGGGGAGCGGGATCTGGCGCGGGACTCTGGGCAGGAGGGAGGCAAGGAAAGCAGAATTGGAGAAGAGTCGGTCGAGGTTGAGATGCGGCGGCCGCGGCGAGGGGCCTGTGTAGGCATGATGACGCCTGGCACCCGCTAAGCCACGCGCTACCTACCGGTCCATACACCGCCCACCAACGCCGCGCATTGGCCCATCACGCTGGCAGCGCACACGCCCGCCAGCCAGACGATGCGCCCGCTGCCCAACTCCTCCATAGCACATGTGCAGTCCATCCAGCCCTGCCATGCAGGCAAGAGTATACCCGCGCTGACGGGCCCGTCCGCGGTTGCTGCCGACCCCGCTTCTCGTCCCCCACTCGAATGCCTGCACGCGACTGTGCCTGCGGTAGATCACCCCCGTCCGAATGCCGCATGCCGCATGCCGCATCGGGCCTCAACGTCTCACTATGAGTCCGTGACGTGCGTGCCTCCTGCCTGAGCCCTGCCTGAGCCCTGCCTGAGCCCTGCCTGAGCCCTGCCTGAGCCTTTACCACACAACACCCAATACGACGTCACCGCACCATGTGCCGCTAGATTGGATCAAGCTTCGCCAGCTCGCGTCCGAGAACGCTTGGACAGGATGTGTGCCCGTATATGTACTTTGATTTATTTCTATTCCGAGACTACTGCGAATCTCGATATACATCCGCTAGCGAGAAAAAAAAAAAACCAAGATTACTCTGAATGCACCCATCGATTTTTGTCATCACTCGTCAATCCGCACTTCCCGACAAATCAATCTAGGTCTTGACCGTGGGCTCGCTGCGGCCGGTGTACTCCTGGATCTTGAGCAGGCTGGTCGCGAGCTCGACGTTGTCCTTCAGGTACTCCTGGGTCTCAACGTCGTACTTGCTGGGATCCGACTCGTGCTTCTCGACGTACAGACGGATCGTCGCGCCGCTGCTGCCGGTGCCTGACAGACGGACGACGATGCGGCTGCCGTCGTCGAACTTGACGTAGATGCCCTGGTTCTTGCTGACGCTGCCGTCCAGATCCGTGTACGAGAAGTCGTCGGCCTCAACCACCTTGCGGCCCTTGATGCTCGAGCCAACGAACTCGCTCTTCTTGGTGGTGATCAGCTCCGTGACGTGGGCCACCATCTTGTTGGCGCCCTCGCTCTCGCAGCCCTCGTAGTCGTAGCGAGTGAAGAAGGTGCGGCCGTACGTCTTCCAGAAGTCCTGCTGGATCGACTTGATGCTGGGCGTGGTGCCCGTCTTCTGGCCAACACCGGCGAGGATGTTGAGCCAGGCAACAACGGCCCAGAGACCGTCCTTCTCACGGATGTGGTTGCTACCAGTGCCGAACGACTCCTCACCGCAGATGTTCATCTTGTCGGCGTCGAACAGACCGCAGAAGAACTTCCAGCCGGTGGGCACTTCGTACGACTGGACACCCTTGGCCTTGGCAACGAGGTCAACGGCGCCCGAAGTGGGCATGGAGCGGGCAAGGCCGTAGATGCCCTGCTTCTTGAAGTAGGGGATCAGGTCGGAGTGGTGGGCAATGATGGCCAAGCTGTCACCCGGCGAGACGAAGGCGTTGGCGCCGTAGATCATGTTGCGGTCACCGTCACCGTCGCTAGCGGCACCAAAGTGGATGCCCTTGGCGTCGACGACGTCGACAAGCGACTTGGCGTAGACGAGGTTGGGGTCGGGGTGGTGGCCACCAAAGTCGGGCTTGGGGATGCAGTTCTGAGTGCTGCCGGCCAGGCCCAGCTCCTTCTCGAAGATGTCAACACCGTAGGGGCCGGTGACACCGCTAAGACCATCAAAGAGGACCTTGAAGTCGGGGTGCTCCTTGAGGAAGGCCTTGATGAGATCAAAGTCGAAGATGCTCTTCAGCATCTTCATGTAGTCCTCAGTGGAGTGGATGATCTCGACCTCGAGAGGACCGACGGTCTGGGTGCCGACCTTGGTCAGGTCGACATCGGGGATCTCGGCGATCTTGTACGAAGTCAGGCCCTTGGAGGTGGCGAAGATCTTGTTGGTGACGCTCTCGGGAGCGGGAGCACCGTTGGCGAGGTTGTATTTGATGCCGAAGTCCTCCTCGGGGCCTGGATCGGGCATTGTCAGTCATGGCTTTCTTATCGAGCGTGGGGTTTACATACCACCCGGGTTGTGGCTGGCGGTGAGCAGGATACCACCAGTGGCCTTGCGCACACGGATGACATTGCTGGCAGCAGGAGTGCTGAGAATGCCGTTCTGGCCGATGATGAGCTTCTTGACGCCGTAGGCGGCGCCGATCTTGGCGATCAGCTGGGCGACCTCAGGGTTCCAGTATCTGCCATCGCCGCCGATGACGAGAGTGCTGCCCTCGGCACCTTCGGGGATCGAGAGGAGGGTGGAGGCGACGAAAGCCTCGCTGTAGTGGGGCTGCTGGAAGACCTTGACCTTCTTGCGAAGACCGGAACTGCGGAGAAAAGGGCGTCAGTGTGGGAAGCGGCAGACGTCACGGCGGGGTCGCACTCACGTTCCGGGCTTCTGGTCCTGGAAGGGCTGCAGAGAAACGGTCTTGACGCTCATGGTTGCGGGTGACGGGAGAATTGAGGGCGAGATGATGCTGGGAGAGGATGTGGGAGGGGATAGGGAGTAGGTTAGGAGATGGAGGCGCTGGCGGACAACAGATAGTGGGGTTCGTGAAGCTCTGACGCCACCCCCGAGGGGATAGCTCCCTCAACACCCATGTCAAGCACCCGCCCGCGACGACAGTTTGCCGATCAGAAATGGGGATGCGCGCCTTCGAGAACATTGCTGCTTGCGGCAATACTGGCTGCGAGCATGCTCTCGCAGCATTGAGTGAGCGGGCTCTCTGCAAACGCGAAGCCAGGCTGGAATGTGCAGCATTGCCCACGCCCGGCACCCCTGCCATCGCTCTCGTACTCTCACCGCCAGCGATGCCCCAGCCCCAAACAAGCAAGCGCGGGGCTGCAGCCACGTGAAAACCCAGCCAGCCGCCCTCACCACCTGCGAAGGAGAACCCAACGCCGCTCTGGGACTCGCATGCTCTGTCGCGAGTGGGCGGATGGTGCGTCTGCAGCGAGTACCGCAGCCCGCACCGCAGCCGCACCGCAGCCCAGACGTGCAAGCTGCAATCCACGTGACTTGCTGAGTAAGAGCGAGCCTGGTCTGCGCCGTTGTCATCGGTTCTGCAGTGCGTCCGCGCCTCCTTCTTGAGGACTCGTCATGCAGCAACTCCGGTGAGTGTCACCTGCACACGCATCTCGGCGCCGTCTTCGTCGCTGGCGTCGAAGGCCCAGCACAAACGTGTGCCAAAGGAATCCCCAGATCCAGCAACTGCTAAGGAATGGCCAAGACCGGCGGGATAGGTGATAGCCTTTCGGCAGGCCGGAACCTTCTGGCGCACGACGCCCAGACCGCACGACGATGCGGACTCGATACTACGTACGGCTCGGCTCCAGACTTCCAGGGGGACCTTCTACAGCGTGGTGTCGGATTGTGTGGAGAGAAGGTCGACTCGAATGCGAATGGCGATGAGTGCGATATCGGCAGGGCATCCAAAGTCAGCCGCCGCTCAGGGTCCCGTGCAGAGGCGCGCAGAGCATCGCCGAATAGATCCGAATTAGCCGCGGCCTGGTCTAAATAAATAGGATCTACAACCCCGGGGCTGACTCGCCGCGGTGCTCGGGTGGAGGGTCTGTTGCCTGCTTTGGCATTGCTGAGAGACACCGCACTGCCAACGCCCGCCCAGGTCTTGGTGACTCGAGCGGCAAGACCACGACCAAGCTCCAGACGGGCACCGAACTCTCTTACTCTTACGTATTATGCGATTGTAGGTGGAGAGGGCGCCGAGGGGAGATGAACGAGGGACTAGCAGTGTGGGGGGAATGCTCCAGCATTACTCTGGCACCGCATCCATCCACGGAACGGGCAACATCCGTGCAGCGAGTGGAGCGCGGCCATGCTGCTCCGGCGGAATGCAAGACGCCAAAGCAAGCCGAGCCACAGCCATGTGAACTCAAAAACTTGGCCGAGGCGAATGACAGCGAGCGTGTTGATGCCGCGACTGCATCCTTTTCGAGTGGATCGTGCGGATCGTGCGCGGTGTGGGTATGTCTGGTCCAACGTCTGGCGAATAGGAGCAAGGGTGATCAATCACTTCGATATGATTGCGCGGCCGACGCGCACATGGTACCCGAACCTGCAGCGCAACACCACGTTTCGCACATCACAGTGGAGGCAAAAGAGGGGGATTGGCAGAAAAGAGGAAGGTCGTACGGTCCAGCCCTGCGCCAAAGTAATGCCGGCGCGCCACCTCCAATCCCTCGGGCCTCGTCCAGGTTTTTTTCTCGCGCTTCTTCCGGCTTCGCCAGCAGGTACCTGGGAGTCAGCTGAGGAGCTCGCATGTACCTCTGGCCCCTCGGCAAGGTTTCAGGAACAGTCGAGGACCAACCACGAGACAGATGATACCATGTCAGCGGGGTCAGCTGTCGTGGTAGCGGCTACAGCGCCAAAGGTATCAAATACTCGAATTGAAGTACCACCGGCCGAGCCTCACTTTGATAAATCCGACCCTTGACCATGTACATCGACTCTGGGCTCGGGTAGCATGGCCATGAGCCATGAGCCACGAGCAGCCCCACGGCCCGGACACGCGGCGTGGTGCATCTATCCAAACGCTTGAAGCACCTCAGCTTCGCCCACGTCTCGAGTGGGGCCAACCAGTCGGCGAATAAACAGCCGCGGCAATTCCAATCGTCATGGCAGACGCAAGGCTGGCCGGGGCCATCTCATATCGGAGAGGAGAGTGATGAGGA